CGGAATTGCAAGTACTCTTAGGGCATGGAACAGCCGCCTTCTTATCACAGAATCGTAAGCTTGTTTAAAATTTATAAAGAGGAGGTTTAACTTTAACTGTTGCTCATACGTAGTGCTTTGAATAAATTTTAACACGAATATTTGATCTATTGTGGATCTGTCCTTTTTGAATCATCCCTGGTATTCACCAACCTGCTAGTTTAATGGTATGAAAATAAATGTCTAAATTAGAGCAATCCCTTAACTGAGATTTTTGAGTATTGATTAACGGACGAAACCATAAGCGGCTTTCCATTTTTATAGACCAATTTTAAATTGTTTTCCACTTTTATGGCAGCACTGCGTATTATCAAAGATTATTCGATAACACTTGATACAAACAAACTTCCCCAGTGTAATCGAGTTTTTAATACATCTGTTACTTGAAAAATTTGGGTAGTGATGTGGATATCGTACCGTTTTTAAATAAAACGAGCGGTTCTTAATTTATATAAATATATTTATTTATATGTTTACAGCACGAAAATATGTTATCAACTAACTTAACTCATAGAAGATGTGCTTATATATAAATGTTATTATGTACTAGAATATTCTGGATTAGTCCACCTCTAATTCGTTTGTTTGAAGGGTCGATCTCTCTCGCGGTCGATTCATCTGGAAGCTTCTCGTCGTCGCAAGATTCAACTTTTATATGGGCTACGTCGTAACACTGCTCCTCTCTTAAATCTGAGCATCCCGATCAGCAACTCTATATGTAGACCCAGGATGGCGGAATCTACAGGACAAGGATCCAGCTCTGCATGAAACTCTCGAAAAGAAATAACAGTCTTGATTAAAGATCTATGATGTCTAAACTCTCGGAAAGAAATTCTTGATGTCATAATTGCACACAATTTTCTTTAAATTAGTTAGAGCACGCCATATATTCTCGTAGCTTACCTGTCTATATACGACTTTCTGGTCACCATATACAGCAAAGATCGAGAACCATCTTCTAATCTCAGTACTCTTCCAACTTTAGGCTGCTGATTTTTTAAATCGTCCAAACGACCGAACTTCTTATAAAATACGGATGAGATACCTTTAGTCATCTCAAGATCTTGGGCAACACAGTGGGCTAGAGACACGTTATGCGGAACACTAAAAAGATCCTGCTGAACTTCTGTGGTCACGCCGAATCTAGCACTCTTTCTCTCTGTCTAATTTAACATAAATTCAATAAAGTTTGGTCGCCGTTCATCTTTGATCTCATGCTGAAGGGTTCGTGCTTCTTCTGTTTCATTTGAGCCAGCAAAAGGTGCAAGACCATTTATGGGAACTACTTTTGGTTTACCTTTCGGCAACTTTTTAATTCGATATATTACGTCATTTATTCTCTTTTTAATTTCATACGGACCTTCCTATTGTCTTTGCTAATTTAGGGGACAAGCCTCGACGACGTTGTGGATTATAAAGCCAAACAAGATCACCTACTTCATAGCTTTCATTCTTGCATCGAGAATCATATTGATCTTTCATTCTGTCACTGGCTAACTCGATGTATTGTCGGACAAATTCATGAATGTTGTTCATTCTCAACTTCAGAAGGTCGACATAATCTTCACTTGCAACATGTTCTTCGGAAGGTATGCAGCCAAATTCTAGGAGCAAACGAACTTTACGACCTAACATCAGGCATGTTGAGTCTGGTCTGTAGTTTCACTCTCAGCCGAGCGGTAGGCCATTAGTAAATAATTAATGTGCTGGTCCCGATCTCTTTGATGTTCTGATACAACTTTGGACAGGTGTTTACCCATCGTTCGGTTCATACTCTCGATCATTCCATCTGATTAAGGATGCAGTAGTGTCGTTTTGATCCTATTGACACCAATCAATTTAAGAACGTTTTGGAAAAGAGTTGACTCCAAGTTTCGCCCTTGGTCGGAGTGGATCTCCAAGGGAACACCAAATCAGCTAAAGAATTATTTTTAACAAGTACCTCTGCAACGGTAGCAGCTTCTTGATTTGGTATCGCATAGCCCTCAGTCCATTTCGTAAAATAATCCATGGCTACTAGGATATATTTATTTCATCATTCGTCTCTGGAAGTGGACCAGCAGTGCCGATTGCTACTCTTTCCATAGGACTACCAACATTGTACTGTTTCATGGGTGCCCTATTTTTACCAAGAAGATCATCTTTTAGCACTAGGTAATTCCATTAACAAGCATTACATGCACTAATGTCTTGCCAAGAAGATCTTTCACTTCGACGCATCCAATCCAATACTCTTTTTATACATGGATCATCTGCTTGGACGTCTTGTAGATATTGAGGCTGCCATTGATCATTAATGACGGTGGTTCGTCTCACGGGGCAAAGTCGTTCTTTTAATTTAAGACAGTGATTAAAATGTGCACTGCATGGCCGTCTCGAAAGGGCATCAGCATTTAAATGAACTCTTCCAGCCCTGTATTCGATCTCGTAATCATATGCTTGTAATCGTTCTAACTATCTTGCCATCTGGCCCTCTGGATTATGAAATTGTAGGAGCCATTTTAGAGGAGCGTGATCCGTGCGTAGAAGAAACTTTCTGCCATACAAATATTTATGGAAATGCTCGCAAGCCTTCACTACGCCTAGCAATTCTCTCCTGGTAACGCAATAGTTTCTTTTTGGTTTCGACAAGACTTTGCTAAAGTAAACGATGACTTTCTCCTGTACATCTTGGATTTGGAGGGAACAGCTCCTACTGCACTGTTGCGGGCATAGGTGTCCAACACAAATTTTCCTGCTTGTCTAGAGTAGCTTAAAATCGATGCACTGATCAGAGCCATTTGTAATTGTTCAAAAGCTTTTTGACACTCTTGGCTCCATGTCTATTCTTTGCCTTCTTCTGTCAACTTTGTTAATAGCTTGGAGATGGCAAATCCTTTGACAAAACGTCGGTAATATGTACATAGACCAAGGAAACTTTTAAATTCGTGTTAATCTCTTGGTACTGGCCAATCCTTAATTGCTGCAAGTTTTTCAGGATCAGCTGTTACACCATTACTTGCTATAATATGTCCCAAGTACTTCACTTCTCGTCGAAATATGTGACATTTCTTCGGACTTAACTTCAAATTCGCTGCCCGCAATCGTTGAAAGACTTCTGTCAGATTATTGGCATGTTTATCGAAGGATCCTCCAACCACAATTACATCATCCAAATAAACCAGGTATGTTTTCCATGTTAGACCTCTTAAAACTGCCTCCATTAATCGTTAAAATGTGGCAGCATTACATAAACCAAAGGGAATTCATGTCTACTTGCCAATATTCACTTTTTAGGTCGAATGTGGAGAACCAACGAGAACCAGAGAGAGTATCCAACGTATCATCTATTCTGGGCAAAGAATAACTACCTTTTTTAGTTACCGGATTGAGCTGTCGGTAGTCAATACAAAAACGCGTTGAACCATCTTTCTTCTTTACTAGCACCACTGGTGATGTCCATAAACTGTTTGATGGTTCAATTGCCCCTTGTTTGTTCATATCTTTGATGATGTCTTCGGCTTCATCTCTTTTCGCAAATGGAAGTCGTCTAGGTTGTTGTCTGATTAGCTGAGCGTCTCCGACATTAATTTTATGCGTTACTATGCTTGTTTTGCCCTTATCCTTCTTATCAATGGCAAAAACATCTTGAAATTTAACAGCATAGACTTCACTTTTTTATTTCGTTAATCATCAAGATCTTGGCACGTTTTAATCACCATCTCAACAAGCTATTTTGGATACTTAGACTTCGATGATTTCTCATTAGTATTCATAGAACAAATCGAAGCCACGGGAACACACTGCCCGATCAAAGTTATTTTACTTAATAACTTAATAACTAATTAAGGTTTGGGGGTTAACCCCCCCCCCCCCGAGGACCCTATTCCAACACTGTTATTCACATTATTGATGGAACTGTTTGTAATTATTGTATCCGTAGAAACTAATTGTAATTTTATGACCAACTAGGAAAAAACTAGTTTTCAAAAAAGTGATCAAGGCAAAAAAGTTAATGATGCCACAAAATTCATTTGATTTGAACGTACCTACTCAAAAGTTTAGGGGGCTTTAGGGCTGCCCACCTCCTTAAAACTTTCTGTGCGCTTAGATTTCTTTCTTTTGTATGAAAAATGCTTTCAGTTCAAGAAAGGGACGTGCCCATTTTTATTACAAAATGTCAAGTAGTTTAGGAGATAATTAAAAAAAAACAATTTTTATTTTGTAAGAGCTGCAACTTTTTTTGTGTACACTTTTGTACTATTCAATCAATTTATTTTTGTCGACGGAATGCGTGATTTAATTTATGACATGCCTTTTTGAAACACCCTGTATTGCGGTGCAAATTAACATTTACTTGAAAAAGAAACTTAAAACTGTTTAAATTGAAATTAGCATAACATTTTTGTTTGCGATTTGTAGCTTAAGTTTTCCACGATCTAATTAGAATGAAAAATAGCAGTAACGCATTGTAAAAACCATTGCAACAAAAATAATAAATAAAGAATGGGAGAAAGTTTATTGGCCAAGGTAGAAGAAATAAGGGATGGAGCTAGAATATTATCAAACCGAAAAAATATTTTGTTATCCTTTTAAAAACAGTTTGGTTTAGTCACAAGTCATTATTGCACAGACTGTCTGATTTACTTTGTAGTATCTATTCAAAAGATATATTACAAACCATATCTTTAAACGACGTGTAAATTTTTCTAGTTTATTCTGTAATTATATTCAAGATTGTTTTTTTTTTATTTCGTATCTCTGATATTTATAATCCCTACTTGCCTTTCCCAATGTCCACACCTACCTGTACGCCTGTATAATACCATACCACCTTGCTGTCTATTTACTCAAAATCTTCATAACTTGTTTAAAGCCCAGCGTTTAAGTGGGTATCAGTGGGTATAAACATCTACCGAGCATGCGCAAAATTAATTAAGCTCAACTGGAGTCTTAAGAACGAGAATCCCGCAGCATACACGGGGAGATGATAGTGCGGTTGTACTGTACAGTTAGATGTTGGCAGTGTAAATTTATAATCTAAAAGTGTTTATCTTTTCTCGTTTTACAGTAACCTTACATTTTTCGTCAAGGTCGTTCAATAAACTCTTAATACTTAATGGCATCATATGTGATTTTGGTGTAGTTCGCTTATTTTTATTACTACGATTTAGTAAATATGTGTATTCGTTCATATTAGTGGCATTTGTTAATATTATTTGAAAATCTACGACCATACTTAGTTTTGAGCCAAATGAAAGCTGGCAGGTTGCTTTACTGCTCCACTCCCCTGACTGAGTGTAAACAACATTGCAATGTTGCTGATAGAAAATATTACATGTAAGTCTTATTAAGTCCATATATTAAACTTTCACAAGCTTATTCATTTTCTAAAAGTAAAGTAAAATGTATTTTTTAATTAGGTAGTGCCATATTTAGATGACCCGCCACATAAAATGGTCAGAAGATGTGATAAACTTATGTTTTATGTCAAACAATGTAAGTAACAATGTTACCAATTCATTAATACAGGAAATCGTAGATTTATAATGTGATTAGACAATCACAAATAATTTGTGATTAGATTAGATACCATTCACAAAAAATTATATAATGTTTTTTATGGACTGATTTATTGACATCTATAATAATTAGGATGACAATTGGGTCCATGGCAAAATAAATGCATACAAACAATTAAACTTTTATTGAATCGTATTTGTTAGGACGAATTTAAATGTCTATATTAAACCCATAAAATTAAACAAGCGTATATAGTAAATAAATTGATTTCAAACTAACATGTGACATAGTAATAAAGATAAAAATTCTATTTAACGCATTAAGAGAATAATAAAAATAATGGCAAAATAATCATTTTACAGGAAATATGGTAAAATTGTGGAAAACAAGTTTTAAGATTTGATTTGTGTTATCAGCATCAGCGGCGGCTGTAGGTCAATATATGGGGAGCAATTTTAAAATTAATAAAAAAATTTACTGGCGTTAGATAGTTTTGTATACCAGGTCAATTTATCTGGTTTTTGGGATGCAAAATTATCGATACTTGTTAATTAGTAAGTTTTTAATATTATTTATTAATTGCTTAGCATAGGCCAAAGCCCAAAGCATAAAACCGTCGTTGGAGCATCTTGTTTCTTAGCTTTTATTTCTTTTAATGTTAAAAAACATTGCTCGTTTTGCGGTAGGTAGTGATTTTTTATATTCTAGGAGCCACGGTGGGTTGCGTATGGACTTTTAGGTCCCCTCAGTACTTTGGCTTTTTTGTGTTTTTTGGTTCATATATTCGATTTTTCGAGGATACCAGGCTGAAAACCCGTCAGATAATTTTTTATTAAAAATTTAATTATTTAAAACGATTTTATATTATTTAAACACCCTCATTTTAATGGTAATTATTTCAGATTTAAAAAACTTTGCAAAATAACTTTGGGCCTTTGAAGTTTCGGGCCAATGCTTTTTAAATGCATTTTTTTTTTTCGAATCCTGAGAAAACTAATTTAAAGTTAGTATTTTTAAAAAATTTAAGCACAGAATGAAAGATTACATTATTATCGAGGGCCGAAAGTCCCTGAATACTTCTATGTTTATTTTAGTAAGTTACAGGGGTGAAAAAGAAGAGAAAACTAAGTGGGATTTTTAATTTTAAATACCTCATTCAAAAGAAACTTTTTGTTTATTCTAAGGGACTGTATGCCCTCGGTAATAATGTAGTCTTCCATTGTGCGTTTAAATTTTTTAAAAATAGTAAAAATCAAAAATTTCACTAAAAAGTTGCGAACTAATTTATTTATAAGAGATTTAAACAAAATTAAGATATAAACTTTGAAAATCTGGCTAATGGAAGTTCTAGAACAACTAAAAACGAATAATGCGATTCACGGTCATCTCGCAGCGAATAAAATCCAATACATACGTAAAATCTATGTTGATTCAGAGATGTATCTTTATCATTATAAATAAAAAAGTTAATAGGTAACATTTTCGTTAAAAAGTGGTAAATTAATTTGTTATAAGAATTTTAAACAAAATTGAGCCATAAATGTAGGCAGTTTGGTTAATGGATTTATAGAACAATTCAAAACGAACATTTTAAGATTTGGTAAATGTGTCTATATTAATTTTTTTGCCGAGATACTGAAAATTGATTTACGCGCCCGTATTGCTCTAAGTTGATCGTCCGCCTCACAGCGCTTTATTAAAAATTCCATATTTTGGACAATAATTAATATAGAAACATTTACCAAAGCTTAAAATGTTCGTTTTGAGTTGTTCTATAACTTCCATTAGCAGGATTTTCAAAGTTTATAGCTTAATTTGGTTTAAATCTCTTATAAATAAATTAATTCGCAACTTTTTAGTGAAATTTTTAAGGTTTAATAGTTATAATTTTTTTATTAATAAAGATAAAGTAATTTTTCAAAGTCTATTTTAAACCTGAAACAATTTCCTTTAAAATGAGGGAGTTTTCGTAGTTAATCCCACATATGTAAGCTGACTTATACTTGGAAAAGCTCTATCGAATGCCTATTTTGCAATTATTTTTCACGAAATTTGTACTAACAATCGTATCAAAGTTTACCACACGCAATTTTTTTTCATTTTTGCACAATGAACAATTTTCCTTTTGATAAAATGAAATGTCTCTAATAGTTTAGGACAGGAGTCACCAATTATATTCCCTGAGTGTCCGTTTCGAAAACCTAAAACACTTCCGCGGTCCAGACGCAGCACTAAACCAGGTAGTGGCGTAATCGGAGAGTGGTTAACCAGAAACCCTCCAGTAGTTGTAACTCCCCCTCAGGAGATCGTTTACGTAGTTGAAACCAGGCAACTAGGCCACCTCGTTTAGGGAGGGGTATGAAATAAACCCAAGGAAAAAGATGATCATAAAGCTATTCTATTGTTTCTGCAACTATAGCATCTTTCTTTACTGTCAGTACCTACTACAGACTACCGATATATCGCCTTGATTAAAAGTATTTATGAAACTGGTACAACTTGTGTTCGCATTCATGAAGATACCAACAAGTTTCGAACGAGAGGATAATATGGTAATTAATATAAATGGGGAAGATCTGAACCACCTAAGATTTGCCGACATCGTTTTAATATCTGATAGAGTTGATAAAGCGCTGCACATGCTTTATAAAGTGTCAAAAACAATTGGTCTTAAAATTAACACCTCAAAGACAAAATTTATGACCAACCTTGTAGTTAGCGGTAAAATTCTGATTGAGAGCCATAAAATCGACCAAGTAATAGCTTACAAATATCTAGGACATGAGATTCGCTTAGGCCGAGATAATCAGACAACTGAAATACAAAGAAGGATAGGTCTCACATGGGCTGTCTTTGGTAGATTGAATAACATTTTCAAGTCTATTATCCCAGTTTGTTTAAAAAAAAATGATTTTAGGAAAGGAAAGGAAACCAGTGCGTTTTACCGGTTCTTACATATGGTGCAGAAACACTGACTCTGACAAAAAGAACAATAGATAAAATAAGAGTTACACAACCCGCTATGGAAAGATCAATATTAGGTATTACCATCAGAGATAGATCTAGAAATAAGAAGAACAGGAATCACAGATGCAGTTGAAAAAATAGCCATGGCTAAATGGGCATGGGCCGGACATGTTGCCAGATTAACGGATGATGGATAGACCAGAAATATTCTGGAATGGCTACCAAGGCAAGAGGTATATCGAAGCAGAGGACGACCACCGACTAGATGGACGGATGATATCAAGCGCATCAGCACAAACTGGATGTAAGAAGCTCAAGATAGAAATAGGTGGAAAAGTTTACGGGAGGCCTATGTTTAGCAGTGGACAAATATAGGCTAATTGATGAAGATGTACCAACTCGACGATAAGAATTCGATATATTTTGTTCAGAGCGCCCTATCGACTAAAATCAAAATGCATTTTAAAAGTGAAGGAGTGCAGCTTTCGTACGCGATTTTTGTATTTGGTCGTAAATGAAGTTTGTTTTATAAAGGTGTTAAATAAACGTTGCACGATTTTTGAAATTTTGTGAAAATTGAATCACTGTCATTGACCGGTCGTAATCGAATTTCCATTGTTACTTACTTTACTTTATCGTGTCCGGACATGTCATTCATAAAATTTCGGCCCAGTATCGGGCTACGTCGGTTCCATTTTTGTTGGCGAGCCACAAATCTTCAAGGGTACATCGATGAGGACAGTTTCTGCATCTAAGAAGATGTTCCATATTCTGTGTTTCTCCACAGTCACAGTTCACATCATCTTGGTCTATTTTTCCCCATTTTGCCATGTTTGATTTTACTGTAGCAACCCCCGTTCTTATCCGATTCAAGGTTTTCCACGTTTTAAAGTCTAGGGTCTGGCCGGTCCATTGAACCTGGGGAAGTGGAAAATACTCAGGCGGTTCATCCTGCACTGTTCCAAGGAAGCTTTTCCTAGATTTTAGTCGCTTTCGTGGTGTTCGAGCTTTGTATAGGGCATGCCGATCGTCCGCGATCTGTTAAATTTTTTCTATGTGTTCTGCAGCGCCTCTGCGTGTTGAGGGTTCTGCAAAACCCGCTGCTCTATATAGATTTGAAAGTGGCGTTGGTTTCATGTACCCAGTTACTATCCTGCATGTCTCATTTAGCGCAGTATCAACTTGTTTGGTGTGGGCAGATCTGCTCCAAACGGGGCACGCATATTCAGCAGTTGAGAAACACAGTGCCTGTGCCGTTGTTCTTAAAACGCCAGGACGTGCGCCCCATTTACTTCCCGTTAGGTTTCTGAGTATGCTGTTCCTAGTTGTTACTTTCCCTCTTGTTTTTATGCAATGTTGTCTGTAGCTGAGGGACCGGTCCAGAGTTACTCCAAGATATATAGGTTGATTTGTGTGTTCTAATGCATTACCATTCCACACAATTTGGAGTTTTCGCTTGGCTTCCTTTGTGCGAAGGTGGAAAGCGCAGACTTGGGTTTTAGAGGGATTGGGTCTCAGAGAATTCTGCAGGTAGTACGCTGTCATTGTTTTTAAGGCAGTTTCGAGTTTCTCCTCCACTTCTTCAAAACTATTTCCTTGAGCACATATTGCAAGATCGTCAGCATAGAGGTAGTGCTTGGTTTCGGTCGGAGTAGGTTGGTCGTTTGTGTATATATTGAAGAGCATTGGTGCTAAAACACTTCCCTGTGGGAGGCCGTTTTTTTGAACTCTCCACCTACTTACTTTACCCTCCAGCATAATGAAAAAACGTCTATTTTGCAGTAAGGAATATATGACCTTTCCCAGATGGTGGTCATTGAGAGTGTCGTATAATTTACGGAGCAATGTTTTGTGCCTTACTGTGTCATAGGCTGCTGTCAGATCTACAAAAGCAGCCCCTGTTATAAGTTTTTCTTCAAAGCCCTCTTCAATGTGTTCTGTTAATGCGAGGACTTGACCGGTGCAAGATTTGCCAGATTCGGAATTCCATGTGATTTGCCATTGGATTC